AGACCTCAGATTTTGTCCTGAGGAATCTTAATCTGAAAGGACTTTTGATGGGACGATGATATAACTGTCTGAAGCTGCTGTAGACGGGGAGGGAAATCTGACAGCAGGAAGAATTAAAGCTTTACACAGCCACAAATGTACAAAATATATATAAAGGGCTGCTTTCATTACAGTATGTTGAATTAAACTTTACCCAGTGTTTTTTTTATAATAGTGTTGGGTTATTTATCCAAAACTGGGTCAGAATAACCAGTTATTTCGTTGTTAGACAACAAAAGGCTCACGTTGAACCTTAAAACAATTAAAAATGTATCGTTAGTTGTACAAAACAATGTAAATATTAAAAGGTACACATATTATTCACGATCAGTGAGAGAATAGTGGCACACTAGTTTTAAAAGAGCTAGTTTACATTTAATTTGGGTAAATAACCCAACAGGAATATCACTAAACCCCCGAAAAAGAAGCTGTTGACTTGCGTGGTTTTCTGCTCATGTGCACTTGATGAAGTCAATCCAGTATTGTGTCATTGGATCAAGTTGGATCCAGTAATTTTTTACTGTGTGTGCAGCCAAATGCATTTCAGAACCACAAAAACTTTATTTTAAATTCTAGTAGAGAGCCAAAGTTTTCAAAGACACTGAATTTGTCTGAATTTTAGGGAAGAGCTGGAAGAAGCTGGTACACAATATGATACTGTCAGACAGGGAAGAATAAGAAGAGATTTCCAACCTTAAAGACAGTTTATTAAAAGATGAAAACTGCTTGTAAAGTAGTTCATAGAAGGGCAGCAACACAATATCAAGAAGATATCACAGATATTTCAGATAACTTCGGTTTTGATCCACATTTGACAGCAGACTCCTATTTTCTGTGTTAAATATAAGTAAACATGGGGGGAAATTATATAATTCAACATGGACGTATATGTTCCTACAGGATGTTTTTAAGCGTTCTTTCTTTTCGAGCAACTTGAGACTAAAAATAATTCTGTATAACCTGAGGAAACGCTCACTCAATACACGGAGATGAAGTTTCCTGCAGGATGATCATTGTGATTGTAAAGAAGACCATAAAGTTGTTACTAATTTTGTAATTTATTTCTTTGTTTCTTTGTTTTCAAGCACGCTGAGGCTCAAAAATGTAAAATCTAAGGAAATAGTAGAAGGGGAAGTAGGCAAACACAAAACGTGGGCCCTGTATAAATGTATAAATACATTGATTATATGTTTCTGTATGCATTTTTATTATTTATTGTTCTTTATTTATCTCTGTGACCACAACAATAACAATAAAGTTACTTGTCTTGTTTTTTCTTTCTTTCTCAAAAAATATCTGTACAATCTCAGAAAATGGTAAAAAAAAAAAAAAAAGGCCTAAAACTTTAAAAAATAAGTCTTACACTACAATTTTTTTTAAAACAACCATCCCTGTGCATTTTATCAGTGTTTCCTAACTAAGGTTTTGGCTTGTGACAACTTAAAACAAAGCAATGTCACCTCATATGAGGTCTAGAGTTTTTTTTGTCCTATTTTTTTCAAAAGAAAATAGCACAAAGATTTCAGCAACATCTTTTGTTTAATAGATTTTTATTTAATTTTTTCTGCTTTTCTATCCTGTTAATAATCCCATGACCCCTCTGATGTATCATGATCCTGATCTCAGGTTGGGAGCCGCTGCATTATATCATTCAACATGTAGTAAAAAAACAATCTTCCCAATGGGAACCCTTTCATGGATCCCAGGTGCCCCCCCGTTAAGTGCACCACTGCTGGATGATCCACCCATGTGCACACTGCTGCCCCCTGCTGTCAAAACACAGAGACAACAGCAGGTGACCCGCTGATCTAAGCGTGTCTGTGATGGAGTGTCTCCCCCTTGTGGACACTGTTTAACTGCAGTCGTCCTGACAAAGAAGCTGGTGTGTGTCTTCGAGGGAAGAGATGCATGTGTGTGCAACCATGAAGAGTGAAACAACAGAATTTCTCTTTGAGGATTTTAATAAAGTTTCAGCCTGAGTCAGGTCATAGGTCAGGGAATATATGAGGTCAGCCCAGACAGATGAAATAACCTTAAAATACTCTGCTTGGACTTGTTTAGTATCCCTATTTGTCTATTCTGCTACAATTCAATGGAACCTAAATTTAATCACATCAGAGAGCAACTTTGGTCTTGAAAACATTTTTTTTTTTACCGTCATTTGTAGCCACATTTATATTCTGAAGAAATCCTGGGACATGTAAAATCTGTCACTCCTCCAGTGTATGTTTGTTTTCTTTGAACTGGTGTTTAAGGTAATAAACATATTTTTCTTTCCCTGCCTTTTCTAGCATTAAATGTATTGTTTTATTGCAGATTGAAGCTCTGAATTGATAGAAAGAATAAAAAAGGAATGAAAGGTTTTCATGTTGTGTCTTTTTGTTTTACGTCCAGGAATAGAAATAAGCAATAAGGTTTTTATTGTGATTTTATCTTTGATTATTGTAACTACTGCTGTGCAGAATTAATGTGTATTTTAATCATCAAATAGCCTAAATTCAATCAATCAAGTAATCAGATAGATTAGGCTGCTACTTTTTCTGTATATGTGGGTACAAGAAGACGTATAATGGCATTATTATTATTGGTTATTAGTTGTATTTGAGGAGGTGAAGTGCTTCTGTAAAATAAATGTTATATTTATGTTTTGGGAATATAAAAAAATCTCAAAAATAAAAGGATGTAATTTCTTTAGAGATACTTTAGATTAGAAACCCTGCACACAAAATATGGAAGAAGAGTTATATTCTGGCTGGGATAAAAACATTGCAGTGGAGGAAGAAAAACATTTAAATCATTTTCAGACATTTAAAAGTAGGAATGTTGTGGTCTCCCTTTTTCTTTGGAGGTGAAGAAGGTGAAGTGTGCCAAATCCTCCTCATGGCGCCATGGGGGTGCCACAAGGCCCAGATGTGCAGCACCTCTCTGCTCCCCAGGACGTTTTACAATGAAAAAAAACAAGAAACATCTAACACCCTACCTGTCGTTTTCTTTCCCCTTTTAATTCTGATTCAATTAGCAGATTTGCTGAGAGAGGCAGAGGCGCACCCACGTCTGCGCAGTGCGCTTTGTCAGTGCACCCGCAGCAGGAGCCCCGGCGCTGAGGAAAGTAGAGATCCTTCACAGTTACATCCTGGGTTTTTTTTAAATGTCAAATGGATAAAAATATTATGGAGTCGTCTTTCTCTTGCAAATGGCAGTGCCACTTTCTAATAAGGCACACTTTAAAATGTTTAACTAATGGCTTTATTGTAATTCATGAACCATAATGCATTAGACATCAGTTATAAGACATTAATAGGAACAAATGCTTGTTTGCCAGGTTGTGTAAAGTCTCTGTGCAGCATGGTGTTTGTTCTCCTCAGTGGACACTTTGTCTTTTTAGCTCTTTAGTTCATCAGGGAGATGTGCTCAAGGGACTGTTTGACCTTTGACCCCTTTGGAAAAGTGCTTCAAAAGAGCACCAGGTTCAAAATGTATATAACTCTGAATATGTTGTAGAAATAAGAAATGAACATCTATGATTAGGAACTACTTACTAACTTCTGATTATTAGAAAGTGAAATACATGTGACCCTTATTGATTACTTATTGACATTTCTGGCTGAGGATATGATTACCTTTTATTTTGCATGATGATTTACCAGCCCAAGAGAGACTTTTTTTTACAGCCATAACTAAAATGCAATCTAATTAAAGAACTTATAAACAATAAAACATTAGTAAATGAATTGTCAACCATCACTGAAACCATTAATTCAACCATATAAACCGGGTTTTTTTAATACAAGCATGCACACCATCGGGGGGGATGCACCTAAAACACCTAAAACATTACCATTGCTTTAAAAATACACTTTCCTGAAGCACAACTGATCAGGCACTACCTTCCCTGTGTGAATTGAAGCGCTCTTGCAGCTTTTTGGGGGCTCATTTATCTCAGTGTTTCATGAGCTTTGTTTGGATGAATTTCTAACCTCTCCTACCCTGAAATCGCGTCTCGGTGGTTTACAAAATCGCCATCAAAAGGCACGTTTGTTCCTCCTCGTTGTCCTTTTTATTGCTTGCGCGTTGCCTACAAGTCACTATTCCGGTGTAAACATGTTATCCCCGCGCTTTCATGCCTCTCAAACATCCACCTTCAGCCAGCGAACAAGGGATCAATATGTAAATCAGACTCAGACTTTCACTTGCGATGCCTGCGTCCAGGAGAGGCGATAAGCTTCGGAAAATAAACGGGAGTTAGTTGGGAGGCATAGCCGGGGATTATCCCAAACTTGCCCCGGGGTTTGGCTCTCCTGCGCGCAACCGGACCGGCGTCTGTTCACCGCGGCCGGATAGGACCTGCAGGGCCCCGGGGCGCAGACTGACAGGCTCCCCGGGGGGGGCACAACTCGTTCAGGATGGAGATTATAGGGTGGCAACGCGGCTGGTATCTCTCTGAACACACACACACACACATACGCACACATGGAAAAGAGGTGAGATGATCTCGGAATGGCCCGCGGCGGCAGCAGCCATGCCCATAAAGATTGACGCTTGAGCCTCACACGGCTATCACACTCCCCGCAGAACACACACTGCCCAACCCCGTGTGATGAGCCGATACAAACCAACTTTGTTCAGCTGACAAAGAGGCAATTGTTAGCTGGAAAGGTCATTTGCCCAAGGGCTCCGGTACAGCAAGTACATCTACAAAAGATAAAAACTGCCCTTCTTTAGTCGTATCTGCACTGAGGGGGCTTTGATAAACCTTCTCCTTGAAATCAACATGCTGATCTGTAGTGAAATAAATAAATAAAAAAAGACCCCGGGGCTCTAAAAGTGGGTTTATCTGCCAATTCCTTGGACTTTCCCTCAAAATAATCTATTGAAAATGTTTTATTACAAAAGCTAAAATTTCATGAAGGTCTTATGAGTGTGCAAACAAACAGGGACACAGAAGAAGCTCAGATGCAAGATCATTTTGTTCATTCTTTTAATGTACTTTATTATCTCTCTATATATACAGCCTGATCTCCGGGTATAAATCATCTCTAATAATGTAAAATTTACATGATATTTTCCACTTTTTTTTTTTTTGGTACAGCAGGTGTTTTCTACGCACAGGTCAAGACAAAGAAGTAGAGCATAAACAGACATTTTTAATCTCACAGCAAAGTGTTCATCATCTCGTTGTTTTGACCAGAATACATCCTAAAATCCTACATTTTGGTACAGGGGGTAATGTCCAGTCTTCAGTTGGTATATTTACTGATGCTCTGGGTGAGATGCCAGTATAAAAACACAAGATTTTGTGCCATTACAATCAGAAACATGAGTGTGAGGCTCAAAAATGTCAAACAGGATTATGGGAGATGTTTCTCTTTTCAGGGGAAATGTCTTCAGGGTAGAAGCAAACAGAACAAAAACGCCTTTTTAACCACTTCCTGTTTCAGTTCCTCCCCCCCTCTTTCTCCTTACGACTGGCTGACAGCGGCAGCGGGTGCGGCGTTGGCGATGGCTGCGGCGGCGCCCATGCGCAGCAGTTCTTTTCTTTGAGTGAGGATGACATCGAAGCTGGACTGCAGGCGGTCCTGCTGCTCCTGGATGCGGCTCTGCAGGGTGCGGACCCAGCGGATCAGCGCCAAGCGGCGGTACATGGTCAGCTGCACCTGGTGCTTCTCCATCTCCTGGGCTTTGAAGCGCTCGCGGTCTCGCAGCGTCCACACCGCGTCCATCAGCTCTGGCAGCTCGCCGTCCGAGTCAGAGGACCGGTCGTCGTCGTTGTCTTGCTCTTCTGCTCCTTCCTCCAGAAGATTTCCCAGGTAGCTTCCCGTCAGCGACTTGCGGCTGAATCTTCTGTGTCTTCCAGCTGGTTCTCTGTTGCTGTTTCTGGCTGGGTCACTCTCCTGGTGGTTGGATTTTGGTTCCCCGACTCCGATGCGGTCCCAGCCTCCCATGAGCACTCCTTCGCCTCCACTGTCCATGTTAAGGGAGGACATGCTGCCACCGGACCGGACGCTAAAGTCGGACTCAGAGTCGGTGTCGCCCCATTCGTCATCGTCATTCAGCCCGGCCTCGTCTTCGTCTTCCTCCCGTCCTCTGAAGCCCAAGCTGCTTTTTCTCCTCTGCTGCTCCCCTTTCTCTCTCTGCTTCTCCTCATGCTGGCTCATCATCACCCTTCTCACCTCCTCCTCCATCCTACCTTCCTCCGCTCCGTCAGGGGGCACCCGGCCGTAACCGTCATCCCCGGCCTCGATTTCGGGCAGGGGCTCCAGGTGGCTCCAGCAGGGCAGGCGGGAGCGCGGTGACAGAAGCCCTGAGTTGTGGTGATACCCAGCAGACGGCGTGGAATTCGGCGGGTCGCGACCCAGCGGGCCCAAGTTGCGGGGGCGCACCTGGTTTCGGTTCTCGTCTCCTCCTCCGTTGCCTGTGAAGCCATCGTCATCTTTGCCGGGCAGGAAGTTGAAGTTGCCGTCCTTGTCACACTTCCTGTTTCGCAGCAAGGAGGAGGAGCCGTTGTTGGAACCTCCTTGCCCTCCGTAGGCCGGGTTCAGAGGTTGGTCCTGATGGTGAAGCATCACTGACCTCGACTGAGACTCACTGAAACGACAAGGGACAGAACCATAAGTTCAGTTTGTGTTTTTTCTTTCTTCTAAGCCTTACAATGCAAACATCTACTTGAATTGAGACTTCAAGATACATAATCCATGACTGAGGCGTTCTGGTGGCCTAGTGGTTTAAATGCACCAAGGTTTTCCAGTTCGATTCTGGCCTTTGTTGCAGTTTGTGCCCCTCTCCCTCCTCTTGTTCCTGTCTGTATCTTTACAGTCACTATCAAATAAAGGCAAAAAAGGTCATAAAGTATCAAAAACTGTCTCTCCGGCTTGTCCAGATTTGCTCTTGTGTGTTCGCTAGTGTTTAAACAAAATAAAAAAAATAAGAAGTTGGTTAGACGAAAACAGGTTTTTTTTTGTTGAAAAACGTTCAAAGGTATCACTTTGGTATCTGTACCAGCTTAGTCAGGAACATTATCTGCGCTAGTATCTAAAAAGGTTGCGATCAAAAGCAGCAAGAGTTTTTAAAACCTCTTCTGTGTTGAAGTTAGAAGGGAAACTCATGAGTCATACCAGCACTCCCTTAGCTACCAAATCCACACTGTCCTCTTCCCAGCAGCTCTGTTTTCCTGTTGTTTGTCCAACCAATTAGGTTTCCAGACAAAACAGAGCCTGTTAACTCAGCGCTCTTGTGATGATAAACTCTCCAATCTTGGATAATCTAAGTTCTCAAAACAAGCCGAGCTCTCAGCGGTGTCATCAGCCAATGATAAAGTGGCTTTGACTGACTTAATGTTGCAAACTTTTACAATCTCTGCAAGTTGATTTCGAGCCCAAACACGAGTCAAAACCAGCAGCTGCATAGAAGATACATAAACATCAGCAGCCTATAAAGCTGCAAAATGTAAAGTATCTGCAATTTGTGGGCTAGAGGAGCAGGTTTAAAAGCAAGAAAAAAACAAGTGGACGAACATGGATGAGCCAAAGCGACATTAAAACTGAAGAAAATTCAACCTAGTTCACCAACTCCACCCCAACCCCAGAACACCCCTCAAACTCCTTGTTTATAATGTCTACAACTACAGGCTGGTCTGCACACTCCACTTCTATTAGCATCAAATATTTACATGTCTCCTCAGAATGGAAATTTCTCTAATCCTGACTTCAGGCTGCTGTCAATCAATCCCCCATCTCCTCTCTCTCCTCTCCTCTCCTCCCCTATGCGCGCGTTCACGTGGTGCTGAAGGACAGCGACCGTGGCTATGCCGGGAGCGCGCGTGTGCAGCAGGCTGATGCTTCACGGTCACGAGGAGAAAAAAAAAACCTGATTATTAATGTTAAAAAAATAAAAATAAATCGCCATATTTATCCCTCCAGAGCTGAATTTTATAAGTAAAAAAAATAATAATCTACAGTGGCTGTTTACGGATAGATATCTGTTAATGTATCAGCACATTACCCATGCAAAAACATCAGTACGCGAGGAAAGAAATAGAAAAATAATACCAAAATAATCCAGCTGCTGGGTGGATGTCTCTTATCTGTACAACAAGATGCCTGCCTTTGCACGGACGACGGCAGAAAACACAAAAAATGCGACCAATGGCGCTCAGTGGCTGCATATTTACGGCTTAGTCATGAATATGAGGCTTTAAAAAAAAAAAAACACCCAAAACACGACAGTTTTACATCCTAATCCATCTACAGCGAACCATTAAGGTTTTAAAAAAAGACTCAAAACGTCCTCTTAACGCAGTGAAATGAGATAAAAATACAGGGAAAAAAAGAAGAGGAATATTTCATGTACGTCGGGCGTTATGTAACGCTCACCCCATGTCAGTGCTGTCTCCTCTCTATCCCCTCTCAGTAAAAACAAGCTGAGACCCTTCCTTTCATCTCCTATCTGCTGGCTCAATAAGTCACAGGACTGACACAGGTCCGCCTGAGTGCATTTGCATGGAGGTTCTGGTTTGTTCTTACCTTTCTTGCTGGTTTGCTGTTCGGTGGAGAAGCTGGACACTGCGCCCCTCCTCCGACACTCCTATGTGATGTTTATCTTCCTCTTCCTCTCTCCTCCTCCTCCCATCCTCTCGCTGCCTGCCTGCTGTGGTTCTGGGAAGGGGAAAAAAAAGAGAATGACTGGCTGACTAATAACACTTCATTTCCTAAACTGGGCTGGGGCAGGAGGAGAAGGGAAGCTGTGGAGAATGGAGAGGGACAATGTGAGGACAGAGAGTGCTGTAATGTTACTGTGAGCCCTTTGTTATTTTACTGTAATGGGGTTTTATTTTGAATGTGCAGCAACAGGCCCAAAAGCCACATGATGGCATGGTGTTAACTCTATTACATGCTTCCAGTGACATCCTGGGCTGTTTGAGTTCGTTCAGCCCTATGGCAAAAATCATAACTCATAATACTTGTGTGTGTTTATGGCCTATATGTGTTATACAACAACAAAACAACACCTAAAGCAGTTAGGACTGGGGACTATATGGTTGAAAAGTTATTTTTTTTAAGGTAACACTTTACTTTGACCCATTTAGCATTCATAAGCAGTACACTAACTTTTAATAAATACATTATAACACACTATAAAATCAGTGTACACAGCTATAGGACACCTTTAAGTGTTTATTAATGTGGAGGATTTGTTCCCACTTATGGAGGAGTTAAAGGTGTTGACAAATACATTAATGAACCCCTTCAAATCTGCGTATAACTACAATATAGAGCGTTATAACCAATTTATCCAATGTTTATATACTGTTTGTACGTGCTAAATAGGGGAGTATGTATATAAATTATAAGTTGAAATGCTATCGAAAGGGTAGTTATGTATGTTATATAATACAAGGTTATGGAGGAAGAGGCAATCAAATTTCAATTGTTTTTATGTTTTGGAGTCACCTTTTTGCTCATTTTGTGTGAGCTTGCGTGGTGGATTTAGTTCTGCATTATTTTGTTATATGAGTTATGTATTTTATGTTTTCTTTTCAATCTTATGTTCAAGTCTGTATGTGTTTCACCTTACATGTGAATGTTGTGGGAACTTTAAAGTTAAAGATCCCCTCTAAACACATTTTAACATCACATGAAATGAAATAATAATTTGTGTCTGATTGAACAGTTAAATTACCACATACAATAAACATTAAAGAGAGCACTTAGTAGACACCTAGCTGCATTTTCACATTCAAATAACCAAAACAATGCTTAGTAGGGTTGAACTTATATGGCAGAAAACCTTCTCTACTTCTTTAAAAGTATAACATTACATGAAGTGATGCAATATTCAGATACTTAACATACTTTTGTGTTATCAAATGTAGAGTTTCTGGTTAGGTTTGACCTTAAGAGGGACACACATAGTCTGTACTGGGGTTTCTCAACAGTCACACAAGGGGCATTTCATCATAGGAGAGACAGTGAAAGGCAGTGAAGCTTTAATAGACTTGTGACTTCAACGAGGCACAAAACTCTGTGGGGAAAAAACAAGCAAACATCATCTGTTGGCTTTATTGGGCTGCTGCCATGAGTGTTTCTCTCTCTCACCACCTTCGTCTCGCTGAATTCGACAAGCAAGGTTGTCAAACAGCATTCTGGGAAATGAAGGACGTCACACAGTGAATTTGTAGTACACGCCGACCCTTTCTTGTGGGCAATGAACCCATCGACATCAAGCTTGGAGGATGGATTTTTACATTTTTTATCACAACATCACGAGATATCTGCAATTATAGGACTGTGCTCAAGGCATTGAAACTGTTACCCACAATGCAACGCTGACAACCAACGTCACATCTCTTCGCAAAAGGGAGGACTGCAGGATTTGTTGCAGTGTGATTTTTCTCCAAACTGGTGACTGTAGCTGCTTTTGTGACTGTCAATCTCACATCTAAGGGCACGGTAGTTGAATGTGTATATGTGTGTGTGCATGCAAGTGTGTTTTCTAGGTGTGTGTGTGTGTGTGTGTGTGTGTGTGGTATAGAGAGGCTACATCAGACAGACTTAACAAGTGTTCACTGTCTCACTCCACCCTGCTCTCATCCCCCTGACATGTCGTCGCTGGCGGCAGAAAAAACCTTGAGTCCTCCTCCTTCTCTCAACACACACACACACACACACACACACACACACACACACACACACACACACACACACACACACACACACACACACACACACACACACTCTATCCCTATCTTCCTCCCCCCCACTTTCTCCTTCAACAACATCCCCATTCAAGTGCATCAGCTTCAGGCGTCCTTCCTCCCTCCCCTCCCCTCCCCATCGTTCACTAGTAGCCTAAGCACATAAAAAATACATCAAACACAGCCGTCCGCCCAAGGCCTCGTCACACGCAAAATCATCTCTCCCTCCATCTCTCCCTCTCTCTCTCTAAAAAAAGAAAAAGAAAAACCCAAGTTACAAAAGACAACTACAGAGGACCCTGATAGAAGGAGAGATAGGCTGGACTGAGGGTCGTCTGTGAGGCGTCCCGGGGGAAGACAGATTATTGTAATGTTAAACACTCACCGCCAACCCCCCCCCCTCACACACACAGACACGGAAAGAGTAAAAAAAGGAGCATGACTTACCTTGTGCATAATAAGACCTTGTTTGAATTGTACACAGCCTGCAGTGCCATGACCCACTTCCCTCAGTTTGGCTCCACATCTGCTCCAGCAACCAGTCTTCGGCTGTGACAGTGGCCGAGGGCGGCCAGCAGCACCCACAGGGCTACACTGTCAGATCCCCGACACTGTAAAGAGAAGCCTGCTGGACCTCCAGCTCACAGCCAGCACTCTTAAAAAATCAGCCAAATCAGCCAAGACGTGCTAAATTGAACCACTAATCCAGCACTGGGGTTTGCTTTTGCACACTAATTACACACTTTTTTTATTTTAGGCATAGATGTGAGCAGACGCACACATACAGTGCATACGTCATGACACGAGCGCACACGCTCCCCTTTGGGTGCTACAGCTCATGTTTCTCTTCAATTATTCCACCCTCTGCCCTCTCTCCTCCTCATAATCTGAATAAAGCCAGATCCGTGTCCTCTAGATATTTAGAAGCCGGGCCTCGATGCCAAAACATGTAACCTTCCTCCTCTTTCAAGTGTGGAGTGAAATGGGAGTTCAGGGATGGGGGAGAGGGAGAGGAGAGGGTTTTTTTTTGGGCTTTAGTGCGTTGACCTCGTAATTCCCTCTCGGGGGTTAAACAAAGTTGTGAAATTCAGTTTGGAGGAGCGGGTGTGGTGTTGATTGTTGAGAAAGAGGAGAAGGAATAAAGAGCAGAATTATGCCAAAGCTGAATTACTCTCCAACTTGCAAAGACATTACTCCTATTAAATTCTAATTAGGGTTGCTTTCTTGACCCTGCAAACAGACCCTTAGGATTTGGAGTCAAGTCTTTATCTCCATTAATTGCATTGTAATGGCTCAAAGATAATGATAGATGCAGCTCCACACCAAAATCATATTATTCCTTCGCTCAAGGCCTCTTGGCTCTTAAAATTTGCACAGAAACCCAGAGCTTGTTTTTCGAGACTTTCAACTAACAAACAGAACAGCTTTGACAAAAGGTAAGAATGTAATCACTGCTTTAACAACAGCAGGATTAAGCCGGCCTGCCTGCAGGTACAGCGGCTCGCTATAGGCGGGGCCCACCATGGGGTTCATTCCAGACCCTCCTGGCGTTGGCCCCTAATGATGTGTAATGGGGCCTCCTGCGCCCATTCCTAACCCCGGGACCTCTTCCTAATCACCGTAGCTACTAATGAGATGGAGAGACATGAAAGGGCTCGTTAGAAGACCCTCCCTTTAATGCTGGCCTATTATTAGCCACTTACCAAATCATTAGTCTCTAAACTGCAATTACGCTTAAAACCAGGAAGGAAAAGTGAAATAAAGAAGCAAAGTGTGGAGATTTGAAGCAAAAGACAGGTGGAGAAGTGGAGTGAAGGATTCAAGTGTTTACAAGCTTTCCATCCCTGTCAGAACCTCAGTGTTCCCCTTACAAACAAACGGAAATAAAAGCTGTGAAACGCCAGTTCAGTCAAGTTTTCTGTTATACTGGTTTCCAGTGGCCTTTGGTGCGTGCAGTCTGGAGATTATTATAGAAGATACTTTCCCCTTTTAAAGTCGAGTGATGACATTCAGGCTCTGCGCAGGGAAATAGCTCTGCTGTCAAGAGGTGAGAGGACCACAGTCTTTTCCACAAGAGGCCTAAAAACTATGTACAGTGTATATTTGAGGAAAGGTGACGTCCAAGAATGATATGGGAAACAATTATACGTTTATATGTAATTCCTAAAGCCCAAGAAGCAATAACCCAGAGGAGAAGAGGCCTCAGAGGGCATTTTAAATGTGTTGTTGTACAAAATTCCTGTTCTATACCCAAAAAAGAAATCAGAAAACCATTGAGAGAAATACCTTAGTAATTTTCCAACCCCAAACAAACACCTTTAAGAGCAATGAGAAAAGTTCTTTACAAATGAACTATGTTTGTATTGTAGTGAGGGAAAAACCTGTATTGACTCATTGCAGGAGGGAATTAAAAAGTCCAGGGTTACGGCAGGTTAAATCTAACTTTTTAAAGATCATTATGAATGCAATTTAAGAACTATTTTACATGCATACTGGCAAGAAAGTACAAAGCATAACAAGGAAAGTTAGTATTGGTTCCATGGAGGTTTTTTGTTGTTGTTGCATCATGATCAATACAAATATATACCCAGAAACATATTTAAAAGCGAGACTGTGTTGAGCTGTTATATGAGCATAATGCTAATATATCATATATAACATTTGCTAATTAGCAGTAAACATAGAAAAGGTTCATGGGAATTTTGCAGGTATGTAGTGGATATTTTTACCAAATTTATAAAATATTTGAGGAAGTGTCAACCTGTTGATGAGGAAAAATCAGAGGATTCTCCAACACACATGAACACGCATCGTACTTGAAGTGCAACTAACAACTCACATCCAGTCTGACCAGGAACTTCTTAAAATACACTTTTATTTACAATGTAAAACAAATACATTTAAATTGTCATACAAAATTTCCCTATCCACTAAAAATCTAATAAATCCTATTTACATGATAAAACATTTTGAACGGACTTCTGACACAGTCCCAATTAAGTCAAGTAAGATGTCAGAGGAATGTTTCTGACGGCGAAACAGATTTAAAATTTAGACACACGAGCTGAATTAGTGAACAGCAAATGTGTGAAAATCTAAAGCATCAAAAAGACGCCTCACTGGTGCTCGTTAGTTTGCCATTTTAAGGCAATGTAAACATGCAAACACGCGTACAACCATCTGTATTTGTGTTCCACAAAGGGAGACAGAGGGGAGGACGTCTACCAGCCAGCTTGGCACATAACCATAATTCTACCACCTCTTTCATTTCTGAAATCTTACTGGCTGATGAAATACTGGACGTGGCTGGTCAGTTCCGGCCTTTATCAGTTTTTGCTTCCCAGCCTGTCGATGATTATCATTCAGTTGATGTATTGCGACCTCAGTGATCCAGGAAGTTGAAGATGCTCCTCTGGGGGCCTTTAATCTGTTCTGCAGGCTTGTTCTCTCTGCAGACCCTCTTTGCTGCTGGGTTCACGGCCCCCGCCGCCCCCCTCTTCTTCATCATCTGAGGGTCAAACAAATCCAAAGTTAAATGCTATTTAAAGAACACTGAGACAATGAACAATGAAACCTTGATGAACACTGAGAAAATGACTACAGGCACTGATGTATTATGTGATAATACATGAATAAGAGTGTTTTGTAGTTAAATTAATACAAATGTAGTAAAATGTAGTTAATGGTGATCAAAGATGCTTAGAAATAAAAAACTGCCAAGCAACACAGTTGTATTTCACAGGAGCAGTGGGCTTTGGCTCCACCTAGTGTCTTAAATTCAGAAGACATCATAATCAATACATTCACCCATCACACTCACATGACTATCACACTGAGCGATCTTCCAAAAGTCTTTGGAAAGTATTTTGTTTTTGTGCTTATTTTAGAACAGTGAGATCTTGCCAAAGAGACACAACCAGTCAGGACCGGGAAGCCAAAAAGATCTGACTGACCCTTAGCTGCCAATATGGCTTTTCTATCAAAATATTAAAGAGTTTTTAAAGGATATTTTTTGAACTAATAAAAGATATGTCTGATAGAGCAGATGAGAAGGTTAAGTTAAGGAAGTTAAGTCAGAAGCAGCCCGAGATTCCCACATCAGTGCATTTATTTTGCTGCTTGTTGTCTAATTGTGGTCATGCAGGTGTGGGGTGAGTTTCACTAAATCTGCAACATGAGATCATTTCCCTCTTTTCACCTATTTTGAAACATTTATTGAACCAATAAACAAACATCATCATGTTACACGCGGTGCATATAAGCAGTGCTTGCTCATTAACTGGTTACCATTTAACTACGTGGGGTGAGGTAGGTCAGTGTGAGCTACTTAATGACCCAAAGCTGAACATTTGTAGTGATTTCTTTTTGGCATTGTTGCCATGGAAACATACCTGAGACTTGTATTATATTGCATTAGTACTTCTCCGAAGCTTTGGCAAACTTTTGGAAGGTCAAGATTGAAATATTAACTTCTGTCTGGCATTTGAATCCAGGATATTTGGGATTAACGTTCACATATACATGAATGGACTTCACTTTCACTTTAGTGAAAGTCCCCTGTGGTATACTACCTTAGCTGCTATATGGACAGAATTACAGTAAGTTATACCTGGACTTTTATGTGATGAGCCAATACCAACATTTTAGGGTGAAATATGACCAAACCCCCTTAGTGTAGCAATGTTTTTTTTGTATATTCAGCTTAATACATCTCTGCATAGGTGCAACGTGGAACCTAAATGGTTTTGTTGGGACACTATCAAGCTCTTTCTGTCTCAGCTTGTACACCTGCAGTAACATGAGAACATTTCTTTAGTAAAATTCCTCTCGCTCACCTGTTTCTGGGGAGCGTCTGAGGTCGAGTTGTCCTTCTCAGGAGACAGAGTTTGAAACAGGAATCCTCGGCTGTTTCTGGGCGCCAGAGGATTCCCCTCTGAGATCGAAGCCAACTTCTGGAGGACGGAGTGAGGCTGACTCAGTAGTGACCCTCTCCTCACCTGGAAGAAATCAATAAAACATAAATCTCAGATTTACCTTGTGCAGTTCACAGAATATGTGATGCACTTTGTTGATAACTGCTCTCATTCTGCACCATTCTGGATCCGTTTTAGTCAGTGCAAGGTAGAAAACTGATCTTTATTCTCCACTGGCCAGTGGCCACACTATCTGGTCCTCTAAAAGCCACTAACCCACTAGATGGCCGCCTGTCTGCCAAAGTGACTGGTACTCTCAAACAAAACTCTCATTTACAGAATCAGGCTGCTTGTAATGTTACAATATGAACACATATTCCATCTAACACATGCAATCAAGTTATAATCATACTGAAAAAAGACTTAATACTTGGTCTGTGAACAACAAGATATATATTCTAAGCATAAGAGCTGGAAGAATGACTTCAAGCCTTCACAAGTGATGGAGTAATGCCATTTTATAGTCAAACGCTACCTGTTGATGCAACAACAGAAAGTTTTACAAGGAATACCTTCTGTATGTGTTTTTTGTAAACTGTTTTCAACTGTAGCGAAAATTAAACTGATAATGATATAAAAATGAAACAGAAGAATAAATAGGTAGCGAATGAAACTAAGATTCACCATTTTAAACGTAATTAGGGATGTTCAGTACCAGTGACAGTGACGTACCTGTAAGGGCTGCGAGGGTCTCTGGAAAGGATTAAGAACCGATGAGGTCTTCTTCTCTGGTTGCGGTGCCACAGGGGGCTCTAGTGTGAACATTTGGAAAGTTAGATAGTGGAATAATCCCAGTCTAATAAACCAGTCTCCCAATATTATAACTTGAAATAGATAAAACAAATAAATGAATACATCTACTAGATTTCACTGCTACACTGCTGTACCTTTATTCTGAAAGGTACAGCAGTGCAAACTGGCTGTTAAAAAGGCCTTTAAATCTGACTAACATCCTGTTGTAGAGCTCACTTTGTCATCTGGATCTGAGGATGTGAAGCGGTCAGTAACAAAAACTCATGAATATTACATGAAGCCACTTTAGTTTTAGTCACATTTCTTTTTCCGGGAACCCAAGAATGCCACAACTGTCGGGAAATGAACGCTCTAAAGCAACTTGCCATTTAGCAATGAAAGTATTGGCAGCTCTTTCGGCTCTGTGTCCGGTTTAGTTTAGTTCGCTGGGACACATGCCAGTGTTTCAGTGCAGTCAGAGTGTGTTTATGTGTGTGTGTGTGTGTGTGTGTGTGTGTGTGTGTGTGTGTGTGTGCGGCTCTGCTTTATCTCCAAAGCTCTGTGGCACATCAGGTGAAGTTACCAACAGCATTCTCAACTGACAGCGCTAAGCAGATCAAAAAGGATGTATCTGAGGAACTGACACTCTAAGATTAGACTGTTACTCTCTGCTAAAAATCTTAGTCACACCTTCATCACTTCCAATCTAGACAACTGTCATGCTGCGTTCACTGACAGTTCGTAAAATACTTTCCCCTGTCTACAGATTCTTCAACAGTCACCTCTGAGGACTGGAACTAAAAAAACATGACTTTCTACCCTTGCATTAATTTTCTTTGAGATTTAGACAGAAAAGAAATACTCTGAAACCTGTCTGGTGATTTGTGTTTTAAATGTTTTGATCCCATCTACATGTTTGCTACATAAGACTATTAGTGTAATAATTGCTGGACAAAAACACGATGTTGGTGTTTTTGAAGTCATGGGATTCTTCTTGTGAGGCCGCGTATCAAACCGACCTTTTCTCTGCAGAGTCTTGGCAGTCAGTTTCTTGGCCAGCTTCATAAATTGACTGTCTTCTTCTCCAATCTTCTCATCATCTGCATCCAAATCTTCCCCTTTCTTGGCGTTCTGTTCAGACTGAGAAGAGACACAGAGAAAGGAATGAAGACAAAATAACAACACCCTGTTGCAGAGGAGGAGGGGGGGATGACTCAACCACATGGGTCTTGAACTAAAGCATTTAGCTTTCAGTTGCGTGTTTACAGGAATGACGCTCTTTTAAGTCTGCAAATTTACAAAACAGTGAGAGTTATTTTTATTACAGGCTCCTCACTATTATCTGTGTGCGACCTACCTGTTCTCTGAGCCACTGTTCTCTCTCTAGTCTCTCTTTCCTCCTCTGGACCTCAGACTGGTCCACGCCATCATCTTCCTCCTCCTCTTCGTCGCCCTCTGCTCCCGTCCTGTCCATGTTAAAACGGTCATCTGGGGGAGGAATTCAAATAGAAATTCTCAATGGCTTGTTGGAGCAACTTTGAATAAAGTTTGTAGAATCTAAACAGACTCAAAGTGAATGTGAGTGTGAATCTTTTTAGATTTATTTTTAAATAACAGTAATAGTTATTTATGTATTTATTACCAATTCCACATAGTTTTTAAGCTTATAGCCTTTGATTGTTTCGTTTTGTGACTGTCTGTTGATCCGGGTGGCAAGCTGCTGAGTATAACTGTCCTTGCAGGGATAAATAAAAGCTGTACTGATTTTAAATATGTAGTAAAATGGTATAAATGGTATCATTTTAATGTAAAGCTAATGAAAATATAATATCTGGGTTATGTGTTCTGTCAACTACTGTATAATAATTACCAGTCAACAGTATTACGAGTATTTACTCCCTTAACTCAACTCACCAATATTTTTCCAACGGAAGCGGCGAGCTCGTCCCGGGCCGTCAGAGTGAAGGTCGCCGTCAGCGAGGTAACGCTCCTGGTAGAGCCTCAGACGGCGCTTGTCATCATCCATTATCTGCTTCCTGTAGGAGCATTTTCATCTCTCAGTTTAATTCACAACATTTCAGATACAAGATGTTGCCACATGAAAACATAAAAAAATCTTTATGAGAATGACTGGATGGGCGAATGGATCTTGAGACTTAAGCTCTTTACATGTCAGACTCTATATGATCGGTTACTCACATGTGGATTTTGTTGACCTGGTCCTGCAGCTCTTCATCAGAGGGAAGCTCTTCAAGAAGCTCCTCTTCCTCGTATTCGCTGCCTCTGTCTGCGTCCTCATCGTCGCTGCCCAAGTCACTGCCTGAGAGCTCAGCCTCCGAGTCCACGTAGTCTGTCATACGCCTGTGAACAGGATTCAAGAAACTATCAGAACCCGTTCGACAGCGTAGATTATCTGATGAAAATGACAAATCCATTTTTTGACTCTACACTTACATTTTCTTCTTTTTCTTCTTAACCCGGTGTGGTGAGAACACACCCTGGATCTCTTCCTCTTCTACCTCATTGTCCTCGTCTTCACCATCTGCCTCGTCCTCCTCCTTCTCTCCACCATCCTCATCATTGTCCTCCTATACACCCACAATTCACTTGTTCATTTGCATCATAAAAACATACATCCAGTATGTTATTTATACATGATGTGGGACTATTGTAGTCAAAGTATAACAGAGACAATGAGGCATGTGACCTGATCTTACCTGTTCACTATGACTGTCCACATCTGACAGAAGCCGGAACTCACAGTCGTCGTCCTCCCCTTCCTCCTCCTCCTCCCCTTCCTCCTGCTGCTGTTGTTCTTCCTCCTCTGGCTTCTTTTTACTTTATACAGAAGAAACCACTTTGAGAATCTTACACAGCATATAAATATTGCAATTAATATTCCCATAATCCTTTATCACTGAAGTAAAAAAAGAGAAAACATGGACACAAGAAGAGCAGTTTTATAAAGTTTTCAACTTTAGCAGAACAATAATCTTTCTGATGAACTATCTGGATTGTTTCAGGGGTGTGTACTGTACCTGTCTTGTGCGGGTGAAGCCGTGTGAGCATGACCTTAAATTTGCAACAAAAGAGACAAATTGAAATATGGTACAACTAAAAGAAAAGCAATTAAAAACAGATGCTTATAAGCTTCAAATTTTTCTAACTTCAAAATCAAATTTTGTGAGAAAATCATAGGTCCTTGAGGTTCCTCATGGTTTCAGGCTCTTGTAAAGTTATCTGTTTAATTTCTCAGAGAATAAATTAAAACTGAGTTACTAGCCAGACATGTCTTTAGTGTTAACCTGTGGAAATGGATTTTCTACATTGTAGGTGCGTTCTCATTGAAAATAAGGGGGACAGCATACTCCCTTACCTGGACTAGGAAATTTCCCTGAACACAGCCCCAGCAGCTGATCCATGGTACTATCAGATTCTTCATCCTGTCCTCTCTCCTTACTCTTGTCTGTTTCCATCTGCTCCTCTCCTGCGTGTGTTGGTGGAAACGCTCCAGAGCACAACCCGAGCAGCTCGTCCTCTTGCGTTGCTCCAATGCCTCTTGCCTGACTCGAGCCACTCTCCGCTGCCCCGAAAACACCAGAACACAACCCCAACAGCTCCCCCATGTTGGCATCCATTGCGTTTTCGTCCAGGCTGTCCAGGATCAACTGTCTCTTGTGGGAGCGAGGCGCACCGGGGCGTGGCCCCACGTTTAGGAAGCCGTCCGCATCTAGTAACTGGGAATGGGTGTCGTCCTCCAGGGAGAAGCGACCCTGAGAGTCTCCTCCCAGACCAGGGCCCGAAGGTGCTCCACCAAGGGGCCCCGAATCTGCTCCTGGGGATGGAGGTGCGTACAAGTCTTGGGAGTCCTCAACAGGGAGGCAGAGAGAGGGCTCAGAGAGTTTTCCTGAACTCTGATGGGGTAAAAAGAAGAGGAAAACTTAAAATCACTTCTTCGGAAGCAAATAGAATATAGAAATGCTGAAAGTATCCCCCCCCCTTTCTTTCGTACTTGCCCTTCCCTAATCTCTGTGTATGCATCATATCTTTTATAATGGCTGTATTTCTTAATGAGCAAATCAATAGATAGATAATATTAAATAACACTAAAATAGTGCACCCCTTCTGCCTCATCAATTTGACTGAACTGAAACCCATTTGTTTAACCCTCGGCACATCTCTGAGAATTCAAACCTCTGATGATGTAATCTTTGATGCATTACGTATTAAACCAAAAAACCTTTTATCTTACCTTGGAGGCAGAGCCAAGGAAGCTGGGCCTGAAGAGGCAGGGAGAAGGGGAGCGGAAGATGGATGAGTTGGAGAGGTTTCTTCCAGTGGAGCGCTGATGATTGACGGGCTGGTAAGAGGTTATCATAGATCCTGCCAGCTCAAAGCTGCTGTTGTGGCTATTGTCCTTCACCAGGGACAGAGAGTCGTCCTCTTCTAGAGACAAGAAGGATGAGCGAGTCAGAAAAGAATGTAGAAACATTGCAAAAGTACAAAGTGTCCTGCTAAGTAGACTTATATATAAGCTATGCCAAATAGAGCACTTACAAGTGGAATGAGATGTGAAAAAAAGAATTGCTGTGACTATATTCAAAGCATTTTCTCTCAAGCTGATGATAGCTATACATTTAGTCTAAAAAGTAACTGAATGAGGTATTTCTCTCTACCCACCCATTTTATTGCTGCTGTCCTGTCCAGAAGGACCTGATCTTCTTACGCCATCACTAAAGAGGAGAACAGTGAATGTGAAGCAATACTGCTTACATATACACACACAGGTGTAAAACAAAAAAAACAAACTCTTTAGTTGCAGATATTTTATCTATTTTACAAGCTGTTTTTTTACAGATAGAACAACCAGGTAATGATCAAGTGAGACTTTATGGCCACATAGTCACATTTTGTCAATTCATTTAAGGTGGGTTTATCATTAAACATTTTAAAAAGGTGCATGAGTCAGGCAAAGTTGTTAAAAACAAAGAAACACACGACCAAAAAGTCCAAACACACTTACCCGGTGCGAGAGCAGGAGTTGCCCGGGAACAGCATGAGTGTGCCATCTGTGTTAACTAGGTCAGGAGTTGGCGAGGGTCCATTCAGTGCTACGGGAGAAGGGCTCCTGATACTCTGGGCAACACTGCCTTCCTCCTCCTCCTCCTCCTCCGCCTCACCATCGTCACCTCCCAGTAATTCATCTACACCCTAAAAGAGAAGATCAGGCTTGAAGTGGGTACAAAAAAAAAGGGACAAAAGCACAAATGTGTATACTGTAATTTTATTATTCCAAATGAGGAAGAAACAACCATCTTACCTCTTCTTCCTCAGACTCATCCGTCATATCTTCCTCCTCCTCTTCCTCCTCCCCACATTCTTCATTGTCTAAGCGATTCAGCTCTGCCTTGCGTGCCCTCTCCTCCTGTCTCCGTTGGGCCATGGCGAGCTGCAGGCGCTGCTTCAGAGTCAGCAGCCTCTCGCCTATAAAAAAAGAAAAAAAAAGGGACAGAGGAGATCAGTCATTTCAGGATGTCAACAATCTGGTCTCCCTGTCTATAATACAGTTCTCATCACGTGTATCCATACCTGGTTTGGTTGCCACAGGCTCCTCTGCTCCCTCTGTAACAGTGACAGTGACTGACTCAGTGTGCAACTCTTCCTGACCAGACGGCGTGCTGTCTTTGCGGATTATGCTGAGCTGCATTGTACGCTCTCCCTGAGGGCGTGCCGGTGCCTTGACGTGACGAAGGTAGCGCTCCTTCAGGGCCTCCACGCCTAGTTAAAGATGAGAGGTAAATACAAGGATCCTAACTGTTGTTTGACTTATGACACATTCTTACCCTTGATCTCTTATTCTTCTAACTTCTAAATCCTTAAAGAATCACCACTCACCTGGGTTGAGCTGGGGGGGTTCTAGCTGAACAAAGGCTCCGTCATCTGGACACAATTTAGCGACAGGTGGTGGGTCCAGTCCAAACTTCTTCAGTATGGCCAATTTGTCCTTCTTGGGTTTGGTGGGTTGCTGTGCTGAAGGCTCTGCTGCAGCTGGATCTGAGCTCCCGCACTGAGCGGCTAACGGCTCCACCAAAGCCCCAGATACAGGTTCTTTTTGCAGGGCATCAGAGTCCAACGTTACTGCAGTCTGGCTTCGTTCTAAGGGCGCAGGAGGGGTTTCTTCTCCAGAGTCAGAAGCAGGTCTCACTACTCCGTCTGTTGTGACCGACTCCTGCAGACTCTCAGAGAGGTAAAGCATCGGTCCGGATTCCTGGTCGGGATCTAGGCTCGCAGTTGCTTCGCCGTCCTGACTGAGGCCCTCCCGCTGCGGGGACGAGGTGGCAGCAGGATGAGGTATGGGCTGGATCTGAGTGGACGACAGGTCTAGAGAGGGAGAAGAGTCCTGCTCTGTGGATGGCTGCAGGGAGTCACTGGGTGGGTTGGTGGGAGGTGGAGGGGGAGCCGACGGCGTCTCCAACATCATGACTGAATACTTTGTAGATCTGAAGAAAGTAAGATTATCATTGTTACGTTTATTAGGGCAGCCTTGAAACTTTTGATTGAATTGTGTGTTCATGTGTTCAATGTGTGTATGACAAATAAATATAAAAGCAGCCCTTTTTTTAAACAATTCCCAACAATTGGGAAAATGTGATTTGCTGTTGTCCTTAAACATATGTTATCTGTTATAATTGTCTTTACTTCAACAACGCCATGGCAGGACCCTCTGGCCTGGCTCTCTTCTTAAAGAACTGGTCGATGGTCTTCGGCTCAGGGATGTGGTAGGGCAGGCCAAGTGTAGACTCTACAAAGACAGAAGAATGAGTCAAATATGGAGTCTCACTGGCACAGAAAACATGAGACTTAAAAGTCTGCAAATGATGATCCAAAACTACACCATCTTGAGCTTCTTTAATCAGCAAAACCAAATGAGGAGTCATTATCAGAAACAGTTAACACACAGCCACGATAGACAGATAAACATTTAAAAAAAAGGTGTTTCTTGTAAACTGACCTCTGACCAGCCTCTGGGACTCACTGTGGAGTTGCTTCATTGCCTCTTTGCTGGCACGCGCAGCTTTCCTCTCCTGAAAACGTCACACATGTTGAGAATGAAACCGACTTTTGGTATTTGGTATTAACTTTTACAGCGTTTAGAATAATAAGTCAAGTATTTTGGCACTGCATACCACACGCTGGGGTTTGTCTGGTGCCTCGTCATCTTCCTCGTCTTCCTCATTCAGGAGAGGATCCTGCAGCAATATTTAATACCGATTACGCAAAGGCCTGTCTAGACAACATTCTGCCACTCTTTTGAGCACAATATTTCAACAAAATGTTAATAACTTTAACAATTTCAATATCAGTATCAATCAGCTGAGGACAGTGAAAACAATAAGCAAGGACTTCAATTCCTGCAAAAGCCTTTCACATATAAACACAGTGCTTGTTTTGATTCTGATTAAAAAATAAACTCTAGTCATAAGAAATAACCTTGGGGTACTGAATTAAGGGTTCCAATTTCAAATAGTAATCTTTATTGTACCTTGTGCTTTTTCATCTTTTGCTTGACAGCAGCACGGATGGCTTCCAGAGACTCTTCTTCCTCCTCTTCCTCATCGTCCAGACCGGTGTCAAACAGGTCTGGGTCGCCCAGCGGACATCCACTGTCATTCAGACCACGAGGGAGAGGAGTGTCCTGAGGAAATGGGTACAAAGCTGTCTTTAACTATACAATATAATATTTTCAGGGATTTTTATTCTATAACAATCACTTGATTCTGCTTAGTTTAACATTTGACCTTTCATTTTATATCCAAAATTTGGGACTTTGCGTCGATGTTGAGTACTTAATTTGATGATTTGGGTGTCCAGTGCAACTTCACATCCATATTACCATATCCCTGTTTACATAAAGATCATTCCTAATGGATACAAACATAAGAATGTGAAAATAATTGTTATACATCTACAGCAACATGTACTTTATATGAAACAAACCTTTTCAAGGTTTATGTGCCATTTCCAAACCTATGACATAGATGTGTCCAAATTTTAGGGACCTTGATGCACCACTCTTCACTAAGAGTTATAAAAGGGAGAAAACTAAATTACCACTGAATGAAAAAGGGCCAAGCTGCACTAACCTCATTCATTTCAGAGAACCTCCCTTTCTTCTTCAGTTTTTCCACCGCTTTGCTTCGCTTCTCTTTTTTCTCTCGATGCCTCTGACTTTTCTCCCTCTTCTTCCGTTCCTTTGGCGATTTTGCTTCCTTCCTCACCACCTCCGGTTGCTCCTCCATTTCCCCACATTTCCCTTGCTCGGCCTCACTGTCGTCACTGTCAATGGGAGGGCGGCTTATTCTCTTGCTCTTCTGCGACCCTCTCTTTTTCCTCTCATCCTTCTCTTCTGCCTCTCCGGTCTCCATCTCCTCTCCGCTGGAAGCAGATAAGACCAGTGCCTCGGCCATGTGTACGCTGTTCTCCGCAGCTGCCTCCTCTTCCTCACTGTCACTATCTCTAATGGCATTACGATGAGGCTTTCTGTGCACTGTGATGTCTTCATCATCATCATCATCAGAATCTGAAAACAAAATAACAATTTAGAAACAGTCAAATTGGACAGTGATCAAATCATTTAAGACTTTTTTGTGATGCAGCAGAATATCAGATAAGCTGTTAATCATCTTATCTGAAATGGGTTCTGTTGCTGTGGTTTATGCTGTTTATTATTCTTCTATGTTATTTTTGTTTGCTCCAGTATTACTCAAGGACTGATATAACCTCAGTCTCCCTTGGAGCAAAAGATTCCCATCATCTTTAATCTGCAAGTACAAGCAGACGAGTCCTTCAAGCACCTTTTTCTGTTTCATTATGTAGTTGTATTTCTCCCTCCACATTGGACTGACATCGGCAGATTTGGGAAACTATCGTGGGTCACGGGATGCCATATCATGTAATTGTAACAAGTTTACTCATCTCCTGTCTCCCTCACCTTCAGCTGGAAGCTCTTCTTTATCGTTAGCGGCCTCCGTGACCATGTCCTCTGCTGGAGAGCCCATCCCGCTGTCTGAATCGCTCTCTGTTGCAGTTTGGGCCACAGCTGGGAGCCCCTCTGCCTGTGCACAATGACAGAAAGCAGAATTCACCCATCATGAAGTGCATTTTCTGTAGTATGATGTCTGTGAAAAACAACACGGGGCCGCACATTCAATGTAATATAGCCTTAATCTAAGGCTCACACTGCCAAATGTTTGTGTTCAGGGTAACTTATTGTGCTCTATGTACTTTAATTATACATTTATTAAATCCAAAAAAGATACTAGGTATTAATTTCATGGTTAAAAAGACTACAACCACTGCACAACTTTTTCTAGGATACCAAAGTTAGTGTAGCCTGTGTCTGTATTTGTCAAAAAACTCTTTGGAAATGTAATTGTAAAAAGCAAATGTAGCATGAAGCATTGAGGTCAAAGGGTGTGCCATTATATAAGTGGCGCCTTGCAATAAAGCAAACAATGAGCATGTACGTTAGCGAGCGACACCGCTTCCTTTCAACGCTTAGAGTTGACTTTGCTTTACGTACAAATCATAAGAATTCATAAAAGTGGTTGATTTCCGAGAGTAATCCACTAGTACGCAATCTGCTTACGAGTAAACAGAAGTAAACAAGGTAAAATGTCTCACTAACATGCATTTAATCGGCGGCACCAGGCCAAGACGACAACCACCACCACCACCACCACCACCACCACCGCAGCAGCAGCAGCAGCTGGCTAAACCTAAAACCTAGCAGGCTAGTTAGCAAACTAGCTCATCTCCAGTGAGCAGATTTCTTCGATCTGGAAAACATTTGCTCTTGTCAGTCTTTTCCCATAACTCATAACCAACTGCAACACATATCAAGTCGGATGTTTTCACGTTAGATGTCCAAACTAACCAACATGGCACCTTTTTTTTTTTTTTTTTTTAACGTTACCTGTAGTTGAGAAAGGACCAGGCTCATCTCTGTCCGCCGGGCTCTTCACGCTCTTCGGGCTCTTCGGGCTCTTCGGGCTCTTCGGGCTCTTCGGGCTCTTCGCTCGATCAAACCAGCCGAGACAACGCTCCGTTAACTCGCAGCAGCCACAGCAGAAGTTGAAGAGTAACGCACATTGAGGACGCGTTGAACCGGGTTGTTCCTCTTCCTCCCGCCTGTTCCAAACGCACCGAAGAGAGAAGGTTTTTTTTTTTTTTTTTTATCTTTCGCGCGCTGTGACAGCTGGCCCGCAGTTTTTCGTCACCGAGGTGTCAATCTCCCCGTTCTCGCTTTCCTATTGGTCGATCGGAGCGTTTGGTATCCGCCCACTTTTTGACGACACAGCTTGGCTGGAGCTGATTTTAAATACCGGGAATGCTGGAGCGGGCGGGGCTAAGGGTTTTTTTTTTTTTTTTTTTTTTTTGCAAAAAGTGAGGGTGAACAAAAAAAAGAAAAGAAAGAAAGATACTCATTAGCTCCACCTTATTATTCTTACTCATGTTTTATGTCTTTTCATTTTATTGTTGTATTATATGTTATTTTGCGCCTCATGTGAGCTGTTATGATGTCTTATTTATTATTATTTCTTATTTATTCTCCTGTACAGCACTTTGGTCAACTTTGGTTGTTTTAAAGTGCTTAACAAATAAAGTTGGATTGGATATGATGCAAATGTTTCTTTCAATGAGGATTCAAGGTTACTGTCATTTAAGTTGCTCTGAATTAAATTCAAATATAGTTCCATGCATGCTACTACTGAAAATAAATTAAAATAAAAAATGATTAATAAGTAAAGAGTTGCTGAAGTGGTACTCAACTGGTGTTTATTTGTGCAATATCCTATATAAGATTAAGTTTTGAGACGTCCACTTAAATAGGAACTAATGTGGGAATAAACCTAATGGATGGTTCAAAACAGCTCGATCTCGACCATCTAAAGAAAATTATACAACAAAACAACAACAAAATTATATGAGTACTTTCACTTTTGTGCAATTTTGCTTATAATACTTCTTATCCACCTTTTCAGAAGTGCTTTTATGATCAATTCATTGTTGAGTGTTGTAGATATAGCTGTAATTTATGTAAAGTGTATTTGAGTTTCTTGAAAGCACTCTATAAATGAAATGTATTATTATTATTATCATTTCCAATGCAGGATAATTACTTGTAATTGAGTATAGTGTTGCATTGCTAGTAAAGTATGATTCAGATTTTACTTTAAAGTACTTAAGTAGTAGCATCAGAATTACTTAAGGTAGCCAAAGTTAAATGAGTCATTATGGAGAACTGCTCATTTCAGAATAGCGTATATTATATACTGTTATTAACAATAACATTACCATCATATCATCAGTACTATTACCACCATCTTGCAACTACAATTTCTTTGCACCTTATCTACCTATTTATCTTTTTTTTTTATCTTATCTTAAGTATTTTATTCTATTTTATTTTTTTTATTTTAATGTACCCGGCTGCTATGATGACCCAATTTCCCTTCTGGGATTAATAAAGTCTATCTATCTATCTATCTATCTATCTATCTATCTATCTATCTATCTATCTATCTATCTATCTATCTATCTATCTGTAAGAAATAAGAATTGATTTGTAAGTTGCATAAAATAGAATTGCTCAAGTAATTAATTAATCAATTATGTGAATAATTAATTACTTGTACAGTAAAAGCACAGTTGATACTTGAGTGCAGTGCAGGAGTATTTTAGTGAATATATATGAATGTTTTACATTCCACCACTAGTTTGAGTATTCACCACTGCTTTTCTGCAACCTCTTTATTTATCCATTCACTTCACCTGGTGTTTGATTATGGTAATTTGTTGTTAATTTGTTTATATTTACACTCTCACATCCAAAGTGACCCCCCCCCCCTCCACACACACACACACACACACACACACACACACTGGATGGGATCATTAAAGTTTGATCTGCCAGTGCGGTACAGCAAATTACGCATGCGCACAGCGCGTTCCTGGGCTTCTAACTGGCGCATGCGCACTTACAAATCCCCAGAACCAGCAGCAGCAGCGGTAGTTCAGGTCAGTCAGCCCAGTCAGCAGTCATCCACGCATCTATCTATATTCCCTTTTCTTAAATTAGCCACTTTAAGCTTCGCGATACCGCCCCCAATTTCAGCCTCGGTACGGAGCCGCCAGGCCGGGACAGAGACGGAGAGAGAGGCCTCGGCCATGGAAGCGCTCGGACCCGGTAAGATAATATAAAGGAAAACAGCAAAGCGAGCGAGGAGCGGGGAGAGAGCGAGCCTGTGTGTGGGACGCGTGTGCGCAAATGCGTCGCTTCACTGGGGGCCGCGGCTGCAGCGAGGCCTCGACGCGCTGACGGGAAAACAAACCCGAGGCCCAGCCCGTGGAGTCCGTGCATGCATATATATATTTATATATATATATATATATATAAAAACGCGTGTGTGTGTGGCTTTATTTACACCGAGCGGAAGCCACGTTGTTCTTTCTGTACGCGGAGGGTCGGTGTGTGTTGTTGTTGTTTTTTTTTTAATCGGTTATCCAGCAAATGTCTGCGCGGTTTTTGTGTTTTATTTATCAGAAGCAACGCACAGCACCGTCGTGTCGGGGCTGGCATTGTGTGAGTGGGGATTTAACTAGGACCTTCCTTCCTCCTTCCTTCCGCGTCGTGGTGTGTTTACGTTGATGTTTGTTCACGATGTGTGTGTTGTTTTTTTCTTCGGACGCATAACTACGACCTCATTTCTACACGGAGACCCTCACAATCCGGTCGAAATATGATCAAAAACACTCGACCTGTGTCAAATGTTCTTCTGCTAAACCATCTACATTTGTACCATCGCCATCAGGAACAGTGCGTCTCCTCGGGCTGCCCTCGTCCAAGATGACAGCGATGGGTGGGAAAAAAAAACAACAACATAAACGCCAATAAAACACACGTTACTGGCGTTAAATGAGCAGACGTGCGTGTTTTTTTTTTTTTTTTTTTTTTTGTGGCTCGTAATTTACAGTTGTGTGTTATTTTATGCGCCTGTGCGGGTTACAGCAGGGGATGGATGGCGCTTTTTATCGATCACATCTGCGGGGCCAGCTCCATATTATCATCTCCTATATGATAACAAAGGCACTTATTTTGCAGCGATGCAGCGATCTGTGATGAAGCATGCGGAGATAAAACCGCCACACACCTGTACACCCGGAGACGCAACGTCGTTTGTATTGTCCCAGCATGCAAAATGTGTGTTTACCTTTTTTTTTTTTTTTTTTAATTTGTCTTCTACAGAGTCTTCATTTTGTGTGTGAAATGCGCCCTTTCACACAAGAGGAACTGCAGTTTGCAGAGCAAGTCATTTCTTTTTCTTTTTTTTTTTTCTTGCCACAGTGAAGCAGTTGTTTATTTTTGTTGAATTGCTCCATGTCCACACACACATTGCTCCCATGCTCTAGAAGAAAAGGTGGTGACATTAGGGACGAATGTGGATGCATTATTTAAAGGGAGGACATTTGCTTCAGTAGCAGTGTTTCAAAAATACATTTTAAACAGATGCACGGTGCTGTGCAAGGGGGGGGTGTCCAGGGGAATGTTGGGAGACAACACTATTGTACAACCGTCCACAGGTGTGTTTGAGTCATGGCAGCCTCATTGTCACACATAATCAGTGCAATCAGGTTTTTATCCATGATGACAGCAGCTGCTACATTGCAAATTTCTCCTGATCCTCCTGAGGTTACCTGCCAGCCGGCTTAATTTTTGTGAAGTAAAGTGGAGTGCAAATGCAGGTTTTGCCTTTGCAGACATTATTTAACTTTACATTAATAATGATAAATAGGGATACAACAATGTGATTTGCTTCCAGTACCAATGTCAGACCTTTTTATACACTAATATTTTACCTATACTAGAGCCTAAGTAGTGTGCACAACCTGCTTTTTTTTTTTTTTTTTTAAGTATTCCTACCATATCCAGCAGCTTTGACAAACAAGATCACGCTGTTTCAATTCGATGCAATCAGCCAATTAGCCCCAGCAAAGTGAGAACAAGAATGATGTTGTATTGAGAGACAAACTAAAAAATTATATCCAACACTACAAAGAATACCCCAAATGAGAACAAAGTGTTCACATTGTGAGTATTTATGCAAAAAGTGCATTTGTCAGCCTCCCTGTGTTTAGTTTTAGAGGGCCAGGGTGTCTTCACAAAGCAGTTGGTTTAATCTTTATTTGTTTTTAATTTCCAGATTTGTGAGGTGTAACTGTTGAAGCTGCGTTCAGATACGCACTGAAGCATTTGGCACAAATGCACAGATTGTCACAGGGAAGAGGTTGATAGAGGCTGACAGACAACAGTTCGGTTTAGGTGGTGTGAACTGAGGCAACGATGAGCCTACTGGAGTTGAAAATGTTTCAACCTGAGCGAGAAATTCCCGATTATCCCAAAATAAATGACTTTATTTCATGAACAGAGACGGGGAGAGAAGCCTGGAGGTAAATAAATAAAACTGTAAAATTTGGGAATGTTTGATGATAATCAGTGAACTCTGTTAGACATAGACTGGGCATGTGTACTGGCAGTTGGGAAATGCATCCGTTAGCCCTTTGTGGTCCATGAACATGGACTGAACAGGTGGAATTTATGTGCATAACGAATCTTGCTTAGCGTTGGATCAGAACTCGCCCGTTAAAGTCAGAATAAGCTGCTCCTGAAGCAACAGCTAGGCATAAAACTTCTCTACACTGAGGGGCGGATATGTCCTCCTTATGAATGGTCTTTCTCAGTACTGCTGCTTTTCCACAATCTAGTGTAGTACCTTAATCCAGGTGATTTGCAGGTGGGGGCGTCAGCGCGCTCCCTGCTCAGTGCCACTAGTCTCTGACTCATCACCAGGCCAAGCCATCATCCTCATGCTTAGCTTAAGCCCAGCTGTCTCTCTGCTTGATCACACTGTGGTTACCAGGGACACGCATAGCATTAGTAGGCTCTACAGTGCACGAGTAGCAAACATGTCCCCGCAAATGTGAGCACACGTTAAACGTTGGGTCGGTGAAGAGAAAACTCGGCGTAGTAGGCAGCACTCTTTGTACTGTGTTTGTGTTGCTCTTTGAAGACCGAGTGGTCAATTTGGATCCATGCTGAAAGACGCACTCAGACTACATAAGGAGCAGGAAGACTTGCTGGCCTCCAGTGCATCAGTCATTTTCTGCGCCAG